GTAGTTCATTTTTGCTTTTAATTCTTTTGCCTTTGGGGATGTGTCAAGTAAGAAATTGCTACAGCTGAGGTCAGAGAGGTCTTTTCCTGCTTTCTCCTCTAGGGTTTTGATGGTTTCCTGTCTCACATTCAGGTCCTTGGTCCATTTTGAGTTTATTTTTGTGTATGGTGTAAGAAAGTGGTCTAGTTTCAACCTTCTGCATGTTGCTGTCCAGTTCTCCCAGCACCATTTGTTAAAGAGACTGTCTTTTTTCCATTGGATATTCTTTCGTGCTTTGTCAAGGATTAATTGGCCATACTTTTGTGGGTCCAATTCTGGAGTCTCTATTCTATTCCATTGGTCTATGTGTCTGTTTTTGTGCCAATACCATGCTGTCTTGATGATGACAGCTTTGTAGTAGAGGCTAAAGTCTGGGATTGTGACGTCTCCCGCTTTGGTTTTCTTCTTCAATATTATCAAAGATTTTTTTTCAAGTTCTGCAAAACAATGGCTCCTTTTTTCCTTTGAAGCCCCCCAAACAAAAGCAAGTGTTCGTATTTTTATGAGATTCCCTTTCTGTTGTGTCATGAGTTTGTTGAAAGTATGATTAACTTCCAGAGTAGCCTGATAACTTCTTAAAACTGAGAACCGAGACGAAATGGGTTCTTTGAAACCCCAAAGCCATTGTTGAGCCTTGCACACAGTAGGACTTCAAAGCATCTACCACATTGTATTTTGGCATTCCCGTTACCTGATGGCACCAGCTTTTAACAGACTCAACATTTATGCAGGAAAGAAAAACGCAGGTCGATGTTAGTGTAATTACCAGTCTAGTAGATCAATAAGTACTGAAAGCATTAGCCGTAAAGAATATGAGGCCAGTGATGGAGAAAAGTCTTAAGTTTGTTCTCGTACACGTTTTCTCTAGCGCTCCCTTCTTCCTTTCTTTTTTTTTTTTAATTTTTTTTTTCAACGTGTATTTATTTTTGGGACAGAGAGAGACAGAGCATGAACGGGGGAGGGGCAGAGAGAGAGGGAGACACAGCATCGGAAACAGGCTCCAGGCTCTGAGCCATCAGCCCAGAGCCCGACGCGGGGCTCGAACTCCCGGACCGCGGGATCGTGACCTGGCTGAAGTCGGACGCTTAACCGACTGCGCCACCCAGGCGCCCCTCCCTTCTTCCTTTCTACCTGCACTTAATTAGCATCTGGGCCAGTCTTTTGTTCTTTCTCCTTTGACATTAAACCTTTAAGCACTTGCTGGGTGATGAAAATAATAGGTAGAAATATCCTTGCCGTCTGTGTTTTGGTTCTAAAGGTAAAAGAAGTAAACCCCAAAATAGGTGAATCAATTTGCTAATCTCTTAGAAGTGATGAAATCAGTTCTACCTCCTCATACAGGCTACATAGCACATTATTCTTTTATTCTCCCTCACTTTTGGTAATTCTCTTCCTTTTATGTATTCCGAGAAACCTTATTCTATGCTCTTCCCTTTCTTGACTCTCACTGCCTGCGCCTCTCCCTTACCTGTCGTCTTTCTTCTTTCTCCTCCGCCTGCCTTATTTTCTAAAAAAGTCAGAATTTCTGGTGAAAGTCTCCAGAACTTAGTCAAGAAAATTTAAAAATAGGATTATCTGTACAAGTTACAAAAACTTTTTACACTTTGCCAACATAAAACAGGGCACTGAGATGTATTTTATTCTCTTTGGTAATTAGACCCTGATGTAGATTTCACAGACTACATCTTTCAGTTACAGATTTCCAAATTTAAACCTAAAAATTCAGAAGCATCTCAATGTGTGAGTTCTTGACAGTCGGTCACAATAATTCTCGTTTTGATAGGAATTATTCCCTTATTTTCTTCTTGGCAGTATCTGGCCATTGTTATTCCATTTACAACTTAACATAGGATCTCCACATTTCGTATGTTCCAGCCCTTGTTTCTGTGTATATATTCTGTCCTATTTATAGGCTTCAAAATAGCCAACATTTGTTTATATTATTGTGTAAAGCATTACAGAATACTAGCTAAAGGTCCATTGTACTTGTTCATTTTGTAAATTAATAAAGTATCTCTCTCGTATAGCCTTTGGGCACATCAGCCATCAGTAGGCAAAATCACAAAGTGATAGGAATAAAAGATAATCTGGTTTCTGCTAGAGCCTGAGTATGATTTGACTAGATTTCTTTTGCCTTTTGCCACAACTTTCCGTGAGGTCCTAATGAGAGATTTGGCTCTAAACACTATGCTCTAACTCATCCCGCTCTGGAAGCTGAAAAGACTTACAGAGACAGTCAGATGGTCTCAAACTTCAGTGTGTGGGAACGGGACTTTTAAATAATAATTCAGAAACTCTGTGTAACAGAGTTTTCACAGGCAGGATCTCATATCTCATTTCCAAAAAGTATCAAGCGTGCTCCACCTTCTTATAAAAGTGTTGGGGGGAAAAAACTGTCAGGAAGAAACCCGAATTAGAACATAAAGGAGTTTGGCAATGTTTCCAAAACTGTACCTAGATCTTAAGAAAGCAAGTTACTATTTTCATATACATATTTAATATGTACTGATTTTTAAGCCAAAGATCTAGAGACAACTCGTGGCCATCAGGTAAGGTTTGCTTTAGGTTGCGCACAACGAAACAGAACAAAATCTAGAATAATTATTATGTAAACAATATGGGAATTTATTTTTCTCAGCAGCCTTGGACTAGAATAGTGACTCCCCCAAATCATTTAGAACCCTGGAATCACTGCCTCTTAACATAGCCTTCATCCTCATTGTAAAATGTGGATGCTTGATCTCCAGCCATCACATCAGAGCTCTAAGCCGTACGAGGGAGGACAAGACGATGTACTTCTAACAATAATGGATGTAATAATACTAGTTCTTTTGGAACTCAATACGTATTCCCAGAAAAGCATGTAAAACTGTTTAAGAATATTTGTTGTCTATAGCTGGTAATAATGGATTTAAAAACACCAGAAAATTAAATACCTGCACCAATAATGATCTAAAATAGCAAGGACTTTTATTTTTTGAATGTGGTATAATTAAGTAATACTATCAAGCTTTCTTTTTTGGAAACCTAATTTCTCTAAGTAGCAGCAAACCTTGGCGTTTAGCCTTTAATAGTACATTCCCTTTGCTAGTTTCCAAAATATAAGGGAAAATAGATTTTTTATTGATATAATTGTGGGGGTTTCGGGTGTGCAATGGTGTTAATGTGTCACTTGTATATATTGCAGTTGTTTTTCTTCATGTTTATTTACTTTGAACGAAGGGGAGAGCACACACGTGAGCTGGGGAGGGGCAAAAGGAGAGAGAGAATCTCAAGCAGGCTCCGTGCTATCAGCACACAGCCGGACACGGGGCTGGATCCCATGAACCGTGAGATCATGACCCGAACCGCCATCAGGAGTGAGAGGCTTAACTGAGCCACCCAGGCACCCCTGCAGTTTTTTTGGGGGGGGGGGACAAGAACGATGAAGATCTAGTCACTTAGCACCTTTGGAGTCTGGAATACAGTATTATTGACTAGAATCATTATTCTGTGCATTCGATCTGCAGGACTTATTTATCTACTAATTGAAAGTTTATACCCTTAAACAATTTTCCCTAATTCCCAATTCCCTCACATCCTTTACCCCACACCCAGCCCCTGGCAACAACTGTTCCACTCTGTTTTTGTGAGTTGGGCTTTCTTAAAGATTCCACGTATTGGTGTTATCATACCGTGTTTGTCCTTCTCTGCGGATACTTTTTTAAGAAATGTGTATTCACTTTTGAGAGAGAGAGCGTGAGCAGGGGAGGGGCAAAGAGAGAAGGGGACAGAGGATCTGAAGGGGGCTCTGCCCTGACCACAGAGAGGCCGATGCCGACTGCGGGGCTCACACTCATGAACTGTGAGATCATGACCTGAGCCGAAGTCTTATGCTCACCCTTCTGAGTCACTCAGGCATCCCTCTCTGCAAATACTTTTAACTAATGAGCTTTTTCTGTGTACTTCTGAACTCACCCAACTGGCTTGAAGGAGTATAGTCTCTCCATCACCGTGCATACATCATATATTTGGGGATTTACTTTGTCTAAAGAGATGTTGTCAAACCCTTGGTATTTGGGTAAATGTCTTTCTCAAAACTGGTTTTATGAGCAGGTATTTCTAGTTGTGTAACAGGAGTTCAGTCACGGGGGGGGGGGGGGGTTGGGGGGAACTTCGGGCCTCCTGACCTCCCTCATCAGTTGCCTGGCTTTCTCTGTTTCCTCCTGTCCCTCATATGCAGATGGCTCCCTTGTCTTTTTCCTTCACCTCTTCTTTTCTTTCCACTGTAGATAGCTTCAATTGCTGCCTCCTGTGCACAGCATATCCAGAAAAAGAAAGTATTTGGATAGCTATTGAATGTACTTCTATATCTGTTCATTTAAAAATACACATACTTATTAAAAACCTATGACATACTAGATGCTAAGAAATAAAAGACCGTCACTGGTCTTACAGAGTCCACAGTTATACAGTGAACGGCTACTTGGAGTATTTTAAGGGCTTTGATAAAAAACAAACACAGACTCTCACGCACGCATTATCCACAGGAGGGGTTTCTCAGTTGACCGTGCAGTAAAAAGACTTGAAAGAAAAGATGAAACATCTAAGCTCGTTTATTTTTAGGTTTTATCAATCTAACTAGGTTGTAAGATCCTCAAAGGCCAGAGAAATGTCTTGTTCTTCTTTTTTTTTTTTTTTTTTTTTGGGTTTTTTTTTTTTAAATCTCCTTCTCTGCCAGGAATGTTAGAGAATGTAACGCCGCCACATTACCTAACTGCTTCTTTGGTTTGTGCTAAGGGCACATGGTAACGGAGAATATGAGCCATTTGTAGCTCAGGAACTGAGTTCATCAGCCACTTTCCTTGGAGTGGCAGATACGCACAGCAAACGACTTATGAAACAGACATCGCGAGGACATCTCAGAATGGTAGATGTTGTTTATCCTTATAAAGCGAAGAGAACACGGAAAGTGAGGGTGCTGGAAGATAAACTTTGCTCAGAGAATTCCTACTCTGTCCAAAACAAGGCTTTTCTCTTGGACGATCTCTACCTTCTGTTTCAGAATTGAGCACAGGCAGACTGCCAGCGTGTACGCAACAATATAAAGTCAAGGTTTTCGTTTGAGGCACGGAGACTTCGGCACTGACCTAACCTCTAGAAGGGACCTCAAGAACTAAGATTCAGGAATGAATGATAGTATAATAAGTGTTGCAGTAATCAAGTTGTAAGGATTGGAGATTACTCTCTAATCAGATATGATACGGTTATGAACACATCAAATAATTAACTGAATTTTTCTAATCATAATCACCACTAAAATTAATTTTTAAAAAAGGCTACCAGTGTCCCTTTCTATTGTTTAAAAGTGAGATTATTAGGACTGATGATAAAACATTGATGAATTGTTTTGTTTTAAAACAATGAGATTAAAATATTGTTTGAAGTTACTCATTTCACCCAGTTGACATTTTAATGTATAAATATAATTGCAGACTCTTGAAGAATGTTTAATTTTTGCCTTGATATATATGTTCGCAATCGTGTGTTTGAAAGAAAATCATAAAATGTAAAACTTTATGTTTAATCACCAGTGTCAAAAATTATTAGGTAATAACCACTGGAGAAGAGAATGTGTAAAAGATACAAAGGCCCATATTTAAGACATAATTTTTCTAATAGTTTCTCCGATTTTAAGATGTCATGGCGTCATATGAAGGTTAACAGGTCAGATACCAAATGGACTTTTTAAAAAATGTTAAGTGATCAATTTGCACTCATAAAAGGGTTAAGATTACTGGAAGTTAAAGTCCTCTTTGACCATCATCTAGGTACATCACTGGCTAGAGAGACAATAAAATCAGCTCTCCTAAGTGTTCAACTGGCTGAACAAAAGTAGATCAAAATAGTTCCTTAAAGGCAGCCTGCCCCACCCAAAACTGGGGGCAGAGTATACTTCTTTCTGAAATTATAAAACTAGAATTTTGATCCTCGAAGATATCATTTGACGATAGGTTTCATTAATGCGGGTGTCCTTGTCTCTTCCTCTCTGTAGCCCTGGTCCCAGTCCTTCTTCCCCTCGAAGACCAAGCGTCTTGCCGGGGTACCATGACTGGGAGGTTGAGCTGGGGAAAGAGAACAGTCTTTTGACGAAGCTGATTTGTTTTTTAAATTGCATTTTTTTTCCTGTTGAAAGCTTTGGCTAAGAGTGTGTTTGAAATCCATTATGATTGTAAATATGATATACTTTATTCAGCCTGTGTCTAAATGCCGACAAACAGAACGTTGGAGTCGGAATAAATAAGAACAAATGAATTCTTTCAGTTTCCTAACAGTAGAACTAGCTTTTCCCAACAAAACATGACACCTCGTTTTTTACGGCAAGGTGGCTGTGGATACAATTTTGAAGACCCCTCCTCCTTGCAAAAATGCCCCAGGGTGATTAAGTGCTTTTGTCAAGTTAAAAAAAGTTTTACATATGTAACCACTCTTTTTAATTTGTTTGTAAAGTAGTGCAAGTTTTGTTAAGAGATTGGAAGGAGCAGTGTTGAGCAATCACACAAACGGGAATAATTGTACACATTGTGCCCACCTCCAGTCATTGGACCAAGTACCACACATTCGTCTTTGGTCATGTTATGATAAAGTTTCTGCCTGGATAGTGTCAAAATAACCAGATGCGCAAGGGAAAAAGCCACTCAGGCAGGCTGCTTTGTTTATCAGCTCCTAAACTCTTCCAGTTTGGAGGCATCTAGCCGATTGAATGATCACGTCGCATCTGGATGTTTGGCATTGTGTAGCCACAAGAAACGACAAAGTGCTAAGTTTTACAGCTGTTAAAGTAGCACCTTTTTTTCCTTCTTCTGCTTCACAGAATAATTATGCTTATAATTACCTTATGCTTTTCCAGGATAATTTTTGTATCGAATTAGACAATTGGTGCTTCAAGCCTGGAGAATGAAAACCCTGTGTGCAGGAAGAGGGCAGAGCATTGTGGAAATAAATGAGTATTCCCCTGGTGAGGAAGGGGGTGCAGGGAGGATCACGGAAATCAGAGTTTATCCTGAGTGCTCGGATTTAGGTAACCCGATACCTATGACAGATCTGCTGAGCAAAAAAGAAGAGAATTAAGAATGAGGTTTTAGAAAACTCTACAAATGAAAATACTGGGGGTTTATTTATGCTAGAGGTGGGACAAAAGAAAGCCTTGGGGGTGTAGCAACGATAAGTACAGTACAACAATACAATTAGAAACATCTATAGTTCACTGAGATTTATGTAGACTATTACAACTTTGAAAGTGTTAATGACTCCATATTAAAGCTAATGTTTATTTTAAAAGACTCAAACAGGAACGCCTCTTCACTACAAAAATACATGTATTTCGGTGGCAGATTTAGAAATTGGATGTCATTTAATGTACGAGTGTGGCACAATTTCTTTAGAACTTTGCCTTGTGGTTTTCTACATGTTCTTAAGTCGTGTTGACTAGTTTTGTCTGCCTTACTTTCTCCAACTGCAAGGAGGAAACAGATCCTTCACTTTTTTCCTGCCCAGAGTTTTCCCATTCTTTCCAATCTGACAGACAGTTTGAAATATATTAAAATCTGAGAAATGTTTTGAGTTGCAGGAAATTGAAATCATGAGACTTTTTTTTACTATAAAATATCACATGCAAAAAAATTATTCTTGTTTAGGATGAAATTATCTGATTGAAGACAGATAACTTCTATTATAATATCTTAGTCACAGTGTAGCCGAGTATAGAATCAACAAACTTCTCTTTTCTAATTAATGTGAATTCATGAAGGATGCTTATGACTTGGAGCATATCCATTCAAAGGGCATTATAAAGGAAAACACTTAAAAACACAGAAAGCATTAAGCATGTTTAACCTCTCAGTAGTGGAAAAAATATTAAATATATGAACATAAAATTGTACCGACACAAAAAGCTTTTTGTATAAGAGATATCTCATCCTTAGGAAAATATATTAATTATTTGCTTTTGGATGTATTCTCTTTAGCATAAGGATGAGAATCCCATTTATTTAATGGATGGAAGTTAGGTAATCAATTATCGGCTCAACATTATATTCACATTTGTGGGTGAGGAATAAAAAAATAATAAAGATTCACCCTACTATTGATATTACAAATGTAAGATGGCAGGAATACTACATTTTAAGGCATAAGACCTGGCTGGAATTAAGAAGCTACTTAGCCTCTTTGGGTCTCAGATTCTCACTGTTAAACTAGTAAAGAATAAAATTCAACTGGAAACATTTTAACGATCCCATTGGTTTTATTCAGCAATTCATGAAGGGGGCAGCATCCACGCTACCAGACAGGAAGTAGTTCCAAAGAGCTGTATAAGGTGAGAGAGTTTTTACAGATCAAAGTGTGTAGGATTAAGGAAGTTATACTGATTGGTTAAAGAGGTTTTCTTTCTTTTTATGGAGCACAGGGAAGTCTTATACCCAGCTCATGTAACTTGTGCAGAGGAAGCAAGCTGACCCATGCCTTCCTTTTCTGGGGTACCTAAGCAGAGAAACTTAATTAAGCTTTGGTATGCTGACATGGGACTTAACCTGAGTGAGTCCATTTTGGGCCTAATCTGATTACTTTAACAAAAGTATTGATAATCATTCCTGCCCATATCACTGTATTAGTTAGGATTCTCAAATACTAGCGGTCAAATGGAAGTTATTTTTCTTACATTACAGGAAGTCATTTCATTCCAGTGTTCCTTCAGTGGTTCCAGGTTTCGTTCAAACCTGCACTTCACTTGGTCTTTCTATCTTAGTTTCTTTCTGGAAGCAGACTAGCTAGCTTCTCATTATATATCATTGGTCAAAGCTGAGACTTAAACTTAGCCCAGTCCTAGAAGGGGATTGCTATGACAGACAGAACTAGACCAGTCACAGTTCATTTAAGGTTTGGGGTAGAGGCCAACTCTTGGTAAGATCAAGATACCAGCACCCACTGACTGAATAAAATTTGAGTTCTGTTAGCAAGGAAGAAGCCAGGTCAACAATGTCAACCACAATCATAAAATTATGTAAGTGCTATATTATTAAATAAACTAATATGAAATAATTTTCCTAACTCTAAAATGTTAAAGAAGTGTTATTACTCTTGGTGTTATTATTGGTGATGATGATGTTGCCATTATTAATACTTAATGTGTAAATCTGCATTTACAACCAAAATTATACACTCGTCTAAATCCTCCCTGCCACCTCCAGCTCTCTCATTTTTTCTGTCACTTAGTATCTTCACCCAACCACTTAACAGTGAAGAGCATTTTACCCACTGAAGCACTGAGTTTTCCATGTTCCCAAGGAGCCTGGAGAATGCTATTATTGTCATAATTTCTATTAATGTATAGCAGGTTTGCTTTCATAGATAGTTCCATAATAATCATGCTAATTTACTTAGGTATTCTTTTTTTTTTTTTTTTTTTTTTGTATTTATCTTGAAAGAGATAGCATATAAGCAGGGAAGGGGCAGAGAGAGAGGGAGAGAGAGAATCCCAAGCAGGCTTTGTGCGATCAGCACAGAGTCCAGTGCTGGGTTCAAACTCACAAACCCCAAGATCATGACCTGAGATGAAATCAAGAGTCAGCTGCTTAAGCCACTGAGCCACCCAGATACCCCTGCTTAGGTATTCTTTGCAGGATTCTGACTCAGTTTACAGGACCTGGAACAGAGTAACTAAATTCATAAAATACCATCACAACTCAATTTAAAAAGAAAGATTTTCATCAAGGCATGTTTCCCCCCATCTTTATAATGTCACTATGGTTTTCCCAGTGCTTCCCACCAAGTTCATGGACTTTGGGCACAATTTCTGTCATTGTTTTCCACTTATCTTTTACACCCCAGTATTAGGAAATACATTTATTTAATACCTACTCATGTAAGACATTATATTGAGCACCAAACACACTGTCTGTAAGTATTTATGAACAAAATTACAAAAAGAAATAAATAACTGCAGGTCTGGTAGAAGTAAAATATTGACATAATCATCAAATGAAGAGTTAAAATGTTTTGAAATGAATGAGGAGAATCCTTGGAAAAGAAATGAAAAGAAATACTGAAGGTAGAAGGAAGATCTACAAATGAAAAAAATTAAATATTTGATGGTGTGATTTAATCATGTCAAAGACTTTTTACTCCAATAAGATAATTTGGGTGAGAAGTTTTGCAAGATGTTTAAACTGGACAGAATAATCACTATGTTCAGTATAATATTAGCTAGGTATCCCTAGGTGTTACAGCACCAACAAGGAAAACCTATAAGAGAATGAGATTAAAGACGAGAGAAATTTATTTCATGCTTACGTCAAGTCCAAAACCAAAACCAACCAGTCTCAGATTGGCAAGTGATTCTTCCCGACACTGAGTCAGGGACCCAAGGTTCCTTCCACCTTATAGTTTTGTTTGTCATCTTCAAGATGTAGCTAATTAGTTTGCCATCTTGAGTTCATCATATCTTAAAAGGGTAACCATCAGGGAGGCTTGGACATGAGAAGAGTTTTATAGAGCAATTCTTGAGATGACACATATTATTTACAATCCCTTCCCATCGGATATATCTCAGATGTATGGTCACACCTATCTGCAGAAGAGACTAGAAAACATAGGAAGAAGACAAAATTAGTTGGAGGTCCCCCTAGCCAGTCTTTATCATCAATATTATCAAAATTTTACATTATTTCTCTACAAAATTTCAAACTAAAATTTAATATCTATGTAAATAGAGCCTGAAACTATAATACTTATATAATAAAAATTATACCATAAAAGCAATGATAATGGTGTCCTTAATTAGACATTACTATGTGCCACGCAGTGTTAAGTGCTATTTAGAGATGTATCATTTAAATTTCACAGTACCAGGGCGCCTGGGTGGCTCAGTCAGTTGAGCATCCGACTTCGGCTCAGGTCATGGTCTTGGGATTCGTGGGTTTGAGCCTCGTGTTGGTCTCTGTGCTAATAGCTCAGGGCCTGGACCCTGCTTTGGATTCTGGTCTCCCTCTCTCTCTCTGTCCCTCCCCTGCTTGTGCTCTCTCTCTCTCTCTCTCAGAGATAAATAAACATTAAAAATAAAAAATGAATAAATAAATGTCACAGTATCCCTCTTGAGGTGGATAGTATTATCGTCACTATTATTTAGATGGGGAAATTGGGGCATAGGAGAATGCAGGTAGCTTGCCAAAAGTAGTGTGTGATGCAGTCAGTTAATAAAACAGTAGGATTTAAATGCATGGAAGCTTGCCATTAAAGTTGAACCCAAAATGCTTTACCGAAAGCTTTGTGATTGTCATGTTCAAATTCAGTTTTTATCAATACCTGTTTCTTAGTTCAAAATTTTTTTCCTAAACGAATCCTCACAGAGGCATGATATATTTAAAAGTAACATGTTCATATTCTAGGTAGCTCATTTGCTCGAGAAGCTAATGTGATAGGGGTCCCACATTTTTAATGAATCAAACTTCCTATCCTTCCTCTCCATCCAGTACCACCACCCTCTTCTTTACCATCCAGACCTTGCCAACACAGCAATTTCCATTGCTCTTTCCATCCTGTTGTGTATCTAGGGGTAGTCAGTGGGGAGAAAAATCAAGACGACGCAGGGAATTATTTCTTAGTAAAGAGAGAAAAAAATGGAGAAGATAAGTTGGATGGGGTCATAGGAAGGCAACACTTGAGTTGATATGATAATTAGTAGAATATTGGTGGAGAGATTTGAGAATAGATAAAAACAAGAGTTACTAGGAGGAGGTTTGAGGGAGGGGGAAGAAACCAAAGCAGTGGAAGAAAGAATTTACAAAGTTTTGATGTGAGTAATTGGTTACATCTATTTTAAAGGTATATAAGAAATTACACACAAAAAAGATTGTAGTTACTTTTAACTTGCATTGCAATTTATGGTCTGTATTTCTTTCACTGTGTCTCCAAAACGAATCACAAGAAGCCCTGTGTTTTATTTGGGTTACATTGAGATCACGGCAACACAGACTCTTAAAAGTTGGAAGGCATCTTAAAGATATGCAGTCTAATATGTCTCCCAATGCAAGGATTTACTCTTTTCATCTCAGGAATTGCCCCCACTCTCATTTTAATGAGTTTATAGTTCAGTATTCATTCCCTGATGAGGCAGAACATTTCATCTCTAAATAAAAGTAAATGCGTTATTACACTGAACCAAAGTCTACCTTCCTTCCATCAATTTGCTACAGATCCTGCTCTATACAAAATCACCTTAGTCTACTATTCATATAATAGTTCCTGAGCTCTTTAGTAATATTCAGTATCTTTTCTGTAAAAATGTTTTAATCTAATGATAGAATTGGACTTGGAACTTATTCTTCAACCCCGTCCACTAGTCACCCTTGAGATTAGCCTCCCGTCCACACATATTACTCATGATTTCTCTGATAGATGATTAACATCTTTCCAGTTTTCTATTTCCCCATGTTATCTGCAAACATGTAAAAATAGGACACAGATGGGACCCTCAAAATAGGATAATTTAAGGAAGGTTTATTCACAAAGGGAATTTTCAAAGGTGTGTGTGTAGAACTATAATTGGGGCTGGCAACATCTGAGCTTGTATCACCGTACGCCTGAAAAATCAGACGGAGATAGTGGCTATCGGAATGTGGAAGATGAGAATTGTTTAGAATGAACTACCTTGAAAGAAAGAACTACCTTCTGAGGAGGTATCCTTCAGGCTCAAGGAAAATCACAGGAAGGGACCAGAAAATTAACACCTAACCTCACTCTTCTCTCTTCCACCAAGTTCCTGAAAGGGGTCCCCATTGATGGAACCATATGAGAACCCCAAATATGAGCTCCCCAGAGCAGAGAGCACATGGAGTAGTGTGGGAGAGGTATAGAGAAAGAAATGAAAGATATCTAACGCATACTCTACTATGGTTAAAGATCCCCCAAAATAAAATCTTCGGCTCTGCTATGAGGTGATCAGAACCTTTCAATCACTTGTCCCTCCAAGAGATTTACGCTGTAGGCTTTCTGCTAAACAACAAACCCTTTATTTTTTTCTCCCACTTATTAGGAACTTCATCGTGTGGAAAGAGTCGCCAAAGTAATCATAATTTAGCACTCATAGATGTACTGTTATGATGTTTTTGACATTTCACATCCTTCACCTTCTTGGTTGTCCCACAGTGAAATTTAGCTTTCTGGTGTAAAGTGTCATTTTAGCGTCTGAGCATGGTGGGCCGTCACGGCCATTGATACTGCCAATTGTCACCAACAGCGCTAAAAAGATTGTAAAAATTCCTAATAGAAGTAGGTTGCTTTGTTCTTTATATAAATGAAAAGGGAGAAATGGTTGGGTTCCAAGGGAGAAACAGAGAAACAAGCAGGGGAATTGACAGTAGAATTGGCTACATGCCATTACTCGTTTAGCTTCACTTTCGTAAGCTTTTAGCCAATACCGGGCACAATAGACCCCTTCGCATACCTGATGCTATGCTGGATAACAGCCCAAACCTTAAGAAATCTAGGCTGTACACATGAAAAACTAGAAATATTTGCATTGATTCAAAAACATCTCTCTGCACAGAAGTGGCTTTTACACAACCAAGACCATTATTTATGACTTCACTCGCTTCTAGGAAAATGTACTCTTTTCTTGCCCAACCACTTGCCTTAAAAGGGCACGAATAAAGCAAAATGAAATAATCCAATGAACCTCATGTACTCTATAGCACTTTAAAGAGAAAAAGAAAACATTCCATCAAAGACGCTGAGATTGCTTTGCATGTCTCCTCCAATTTACTTGTACGGAGTTTCTGAGATATGGCTGGTATGGTTGTCATTATCCCCGAGGTGTCCTGATGCCATTGTTGCCTAGTAAATTACAGGTTCTTCTAGGTCTAAGACAAACACCTCAATTCTAGGTACGCTCCGGTCAAGTCCAATGTTCAGTAGCTCATAATGTTCTCTCAGACCAGGTATATCCTATTTTTTTCCTGTGCTTCTCTCCTGAGACTCATTTTAAACTTGTAGTAATCATTTATTTTAACAAAGCTGAAGGACCTCAGAACTGGTTGGCTTTCATGTTTAAGTCGAAATTTGGCAGCTATTTCCATGATTGGCTTGGAAGTGGTATTCTAAGTCACCCTTCATAAGACCTTGCTCTACTTCTGTTCGCATTCAAGTCACAGTCTGAAATAGGAAAAATGTCATCAGGCGTAAAAAGAAAGTCAGATAGGTTGCTATCCAAAAATGAACTCCACTGGAAAGTATAGCAAGAATGGCAGACCAGTCGCCCTCTTTTATTCAAATCTGAAAATAAGTAATTTTTATGTTAAGCATTGTTGGAAAGGCATGGGAGACTGATGTGGACGTGTCAATGTAAAATCACGGTCGCTAGACACCGACAAATGGGAGCATAAACTTCACTTAGCTCTGCCGGCAGAGGAGCCCAACGGTGCCTCCAAGGACCTTAAAGGTTAACAATAAAATCTCAAATTGAATCCTCATTTTCAATGTGAGCCAATCTGTTATAAAACAATGAATTGGCATGAACATACCAAGGCCAATGAGAACAGTTAAGCAAGAGCCTGTCAGCGCACCCATACTTTATCACCCATGCAGAGAGTAACTCCCCATGACATTAAGGATGCTCTGTTTGATGGAATGTCACAGTTAGTTGACACTGGCCTTATCCCGGATCGTAGATTCTCTGTCACATCCTGCCAGTTTAGAGCAGGACCTAATGATTACAGTGTTTTACCTTACGAGCCCTGATGGGAAACCAAAGCTGAGTTGAGCTGCGTCAATTGCTGCCCGGTGTCAGACCTGCCAATTGAAAGTGATTGATAGAGGAGATGGCCAGCCACATGGAAGAAAAGAAAGTGAAACGTATTGTGCCCTGATCTGAGTAGAAAAACTTATAATCTCATCAAACCAAAGGAAAAGGATTATTAAGAGTTTCAAAGAATGTTGAGGCTGCAAATCATTCCATTTCTTGGTGACTTGAATAAATTAGAAAATTCGTCTACTCACTAGTCACAGGACAGTGAACTCCCACAAATATACAGAAGCGTGGACAGATTGCTTTAAAGTATATAGTTATATACATTTTTTTTGTCTATTATGTGGTAGGCCTTGGGAACGCGGGGATGAGGAAGATCAAACAAACATAATTCATGGGATTTATTCATAAAACAGTTATTTTTGTGTCCTACTATCTCCTTCAGTTTAACCAGTGAGCAGAAGCTTCCCCGGATGGAAGTGCGGATGAGAGTTGCAAGTTTTTTCTGATGACCGTTAAGCCGTGTCTGCAAGCTAATAATTTAAATCTTCATTCCCATGTAATACTTACATGACAGCTGCTTTAAATGTGAAGCTCCTTCTTCACCAGTTTGCTCTTGCTGCAGAAGGGAGGCCTGCTGGTGGGGAAGGCACTGTGGTCCCCCCGTTTATTTCTCTGCCTTGAAATTCTGTGCCTCCTGACCCAGCTTGCCCACTTCAGATTGAGCGCAGCAGAATTGGAGCAGGGCATTGAAGGAGAAGAAAAGAATGCAGGAATGTTCTCATGTGGTTGATGACCTAGGAGAGGTGCTCTCTGGGTTTGACAGGGGTTTAAATTTGAGCTGTTTTTCTTAGGAGTGTTCTCATGGGTTCTTCACAGGTGCCCCAGTGGAGTTGGCATGTCTCGTCTGAAGTTCATTGGACATGGTGAATGTATTGAGTTCCGGTCGGTTGCTTTGGACACCTTCTCCAGCTCCTAGACACTCACAGGCCCACCCCAGCTTCCTTCTAAAACACCCCTGTATCTTTTTGGTGGCCCACACAGCTCCCTAATGCATATGTCCTATACCAGGTCCACAGGAAACATTCATACCACCTTTGTTCTTTGAGAATAGTTATTTCTCAGACTACAGGCGTTACTCCAATACCATTGGTTCCTTCTATTAATTTTCAGATTTCTTAGGCCTGTTGCACACAGCAGTCTTCTCTGTCACCGAAACAGTGCAAATCTAAGCACAAGAATCAGAAGATCTGCAGGGCGGATGGGATTTCCCATTGTTCTCATCCAGTGTTCTCAACCGGGATTAACTTGGCCCCACAGAGAACATTTGGCAACGTCTAGAGACGCTTTTGGTCATCACAACTGGAGGAGAGGTGCTCCTGGCATCTAGTAGCTAGAGGCCAAGGCGGCTGCCCAACATTTTATAATGGGCACAATAGCTCTTGCAACTGCAAAGAATTCCCCAGCCCCAAATGTCAGCAGTGCTGAGGTTGAAAAACTCCTGTCCTAGAAAAAAACTGGTTTTCAGTTTCTTGTTTGTTTTTTTAGGTACACTAGAACTGTAAAGATGAAAACATAATATTTCTGAAACTCCCCTAACACCTTCTATCGATTGACTCATTAATCACATAGATTAAGTGCTCACTGAGTGTCAGGCACCATTTTCAGGGCGGGGATATGGTGGTTCTCATGGAGCTGACCCCCTAAAGAGGGAGGAGGCTAGGCGATAACCAAGTAAACGAATACTTTAGCAGGTATTTTATGTAAGAATAGTGCTGGAAAGACAATAAAGCAGAATCATGTGATGAAGAAAGGGAATCATCCTTTTGTGTTAGAGTAGTTGGTGAAGGCCTCTCTGAGGTACTAGGAATTGGGTGGACCTTCAAAGGGCGATATGCAACCCTTCTAAGGGAAGAACACTCCAGAAGGAAGAGGAGCAGGTGCAAAGACTGTAAAGCAGGAACAAGCATGCAATGTTGCAGGAAAATCCAGAATTATTATGAGCAGTGAGGTGCATGACACAACATGAAGACAAAGAAGAATGTAATAGGCAGGCCTTACTGGAACATTAAACAGTTCTTCTTGACCAAGAAACCTTTGGAGAGACTTTGATCCCAGGTGGTGGAGACAGACGCGAACCCTTTTAACAACGGACCAACCCTCATGCGTACGTCTCTGTGTGTTCTTTTCATGAATCCTCAAAAAGGACCATTGTTTAGGGAAGAAAAACACCCCACTGATTCTCCTTTGTTCACACGCTCGCAATACTTGTGACAGAAGATGTGTAGCTTTTCCACACATCTAGCAATTCTCTGTGACACCAGAGGGGTGTCCTGTAGTTCAATTCAATTAGTCCTGACAGAGAGCTAGTGCAGGTGAAGGGCTTGGTGAAGGGCACAGGTGAAGGGCTTGGTCCCACACGACTGTCCACCTCTTCGGACACCACTCACAAGTGGTAGGTCCCCAACTTACCCGTGACTGCTGTCCAATTTGACTAAGCAGTAGAGGTTTCCGTGATCCCCTCCTTGGATTCAGTCATTTTCTTGAACAGCCCACAGAACTCAAGGAAACACTCATGTTTTCCAGTGTATGATCTAATAAAGGATATGATAAAGGATACTGATGGACAGCCAGATAAAAAGGTATAAAGGGTAAAGTTTGGGATGCTCTCCAGCGTAGGAACTTCCGTCCCAGTAGAGCTTCTGTCCCAGTAGAGCTATACGACCTTCTCAGAATACAGATGTGTTCACCAGTCCAGAAACTCTCCAAATCCTATACTTCTGGAATTTTTATGGAAACTTCATACATGGGCATGATCTATCATTAACTCATTCTCCTACTCACCTTCCCAGAGGTTGGTGGGTGGGGATGAAAGTTCCAAGCTTCTAATTATGGCTTGGTCAGCCCTCTTCCTCACGCTGTCTGGGAGCCCACCATCAGTTGCCTCATTAAAACAAGAGACATTTCTATCACCCAGGAGATTCCAAGAGATTTAGAAGCCATGTGTCAGGAACCAGGGTCAAAGACTAAATTTCGGAGCAAGACACTTCTCCTAGCGCTCCTATTTACAAGGGGTTTCAGCAGCTCTGTGTCAGGAACCAGAGAACCAGAGGCAGAGACGGGTGTGGGTGTGTGTGTGGGTGTGCACACATGCATGTGCAAGTGCTCAGTAGAAATCTGTGTCCAAGTTCAGGCTTTTACTGTCCCTCGCAAAGTGTACCTCAGGTCTACACGGATGCAAGTCCTGTTTTAGGATTTCTCTGAGATTTGAATAAATTCCAGATTCTGGGAGCAACAGTCTACTGAACGTCATCACCCCATCTTTTTGTGATTCTGAAAGAAATGTCATAAAGCAATTTACCAACAAAATGGGGACTACAGTTCTGCCCCCAAATGACTGTTCATGAGGTTGACCGATGTCCCTTGTCATCCTGGGAAAAAGGGACAGAGTGTCAAGCTGGAACGCCTAGAATCCTCCAGGTAAAAGAGAAATGCGTCCTTCTCCTGCTCTCTATGGTTAACCCACCACCTACCCTGGACTACAAGTTCTCCCAAGAATACATGACCCCTTACACCCTACCACACAACCCCTCTCCTGCTGAACCATGAAGCGTGGGGTTGTGGGTAACTTAAAGAGCGCCCCACTGCAAAGGAAATAACTCCGATTAAAGAGAAGAATACCGGTGGCCCAAAGCCTAGGGAGCAAGGAGGCATTCCATAGAAAACCTAGGGAGGAGAGTGGCCAGTGAAGGTAAAAGAACAATGTGGCAAGAAATGACAATATTCATGGAGTAGAGCCAGTTTAGTTATGGCAGCGAAGTAATTTCAAACTACAAAAGGAATTTTAGGCTTCAAAACTCCAGCTCCCAAATAGTGTTATAATTAGTATTATTTTCAGATTAAAGAAAACACCACTTTTGTGTAACAAATTACCTCCATTTTAAAAGCAAAAAATAATATATTTCACTTCATAAAAAAATGCCCAAACGGAAGCATTCTTACATTAATTATTTCACTCTATTCAAAAAGCATATCCCTGCTTGCTTTTTATTATGCCTTCCAGCTCCTACTTTGAAAAACATGTTAAGAAGCTGGAAGGTATTTTTTTTTAAATGAAAGGGAAAAAGAAAAATAAATAATCTTTGAAGCAATTAGAGCCAAAATACAGAATACATAAATATACATGTACATATTTCTTTATTTGCCCCCTAGATTTCACTCGCATTTTCTTCCACCTCCCTTCTTGGCACGAGAATATGAAGCATCTTTCTTTCCTTGAGCTTCAACAGCAGGCAAATGTTTGCCCCAGAATTGAATCAGATTCTGTTCCGCGGGTTGATTGGCAAGAGTCTTCATAAAGGGGGTGGGGTCCCCGGAGGGCAAATACATAATTTTCATAATGCATTTCTCTTCCCCCTCTCCCACCCCCAGCCTAGGAACCTCGGTCTATTTCTGAACCATTTTGTCTGAGAGTAATAATTAGCAACGCGTTGCAAAAGACAAAACACCATCGTCATTGCGTTTTGGGATGCGTAGTTACTCTTGTAAAATTACCAAGAATATAATTTTACTGTGGGAACAAAGAACATATGTAAAGTAAATATTGTTACAGACTTCAGAGTTGGGGGAAGAAATTTTTAATCTGGAATGTTCTATAAAACCACAGGAAGTGGAGTTTCAAATCAGTTGTCTCGACACTTCCCTTCCCTCAGCTCCCTGGGGCCGAGGTAAAGTGTTGTCACCTTGTGGGAGGAAAGATTTGAGTGCCGGCCTTTCTAAACATGGGGAGCTGAAGCACCTGTGTTGAAAACACCTGGAAAATTAAGACGCCCCTCTCCATGTAGCCTCGAAATCTAGCAACCAGTCTCCCCCTGAAAAACAAATACGTTCCCCTCATTAGAAGACTTTAGTATTGAAATATTAAAAATTATATTACTGTTAACAATGATCTTTAGATTTAATATGGCTTTCGTGGAAACCGGTAACCAGAAGGGGAAAGTAAACGTGTGTTGTTACTTGTACCGGGATTGAAATGTCGACAGTGCTCTGTATACCTCAGGGGAGGTTTGACTATTTTTACCAGATCTGGCAGAAGTCTGCAGCTCCAGTGTTGGTGCTCAGCCTTGCCCAAAGGCCAAGTCAGTGTAGCAGCACCCTCTTTTTCGTTTTCTTCTTTTGGAAGGCCCGGCTTCTCACAGCGTCGCCTGTCCGCAGTCACAGCTGTGAACCAGAAAGCGTCACTCCTGTGCCTTAGCCAGTGGGTTCCAGAGGCTCTCGTCAGACACCCAGCAAAGCTTCCCGATTCAGACTTTACCCTCAGTCCTGACAATGCCAGCAATCCGATTAATCATCCCCCCTCGCGCATTAGTCAGTGCAAATTAGAATTGGGGCGTGGGGGTGCCCCAGAGGCAAGGACAAAGCTGCAGATGAGAGAGATGTAGCTGATCAACCGCATGGTAGATGGGAGCTTCCTCACGGCATAGATGAGGACACTGGGGCACAAGGAGAACTTGCCCAAGGTCATCTAACTAGTGCGAAGTAAAAGACCCAGCATTCCCACACGGGCCAACTCTCGCCAGTCTCTTCCAGGCTTCCTCTCCATCTTTTAGCTCATCGGAGTCTTAGGCTGGCTTTTGAATGAGTATTCTGGCTACTAACCCAGCGGTTCTCAAAGTGCATCACCTGAAAACTTACTAGAAAGTCAGAGTCTCCGACACTCTAACCGTGTGAATCAGAAGCTCTGGGCCCAGCAATCTTTTTTTTTTTTTTTTTTTTTTAACAAACCCTCTGAGGACTTCTGATACAGCGTAAGAAATTCGGGAAATCACTCTACAAACTCCTTTCAGATGTCACTTAGCCTAAGCTAAGATGTCAGGTGGCGCAAAGCATCTCATTTGGCAAGTCTCGGAAGTACCCTGTCTTCTGGATTTCTAAGAAGGGCAGATGTGTCTCCAGAACTGCCTGTCTGTGCATTTCAGCCCTCCAGTGGGAGGTGGGAGTCCCTTTCTCCAAGCCTGAGGCAACCATTGTTCTCCTGTCCTCTCCTTTACTCCACTTCTTAGGAACCTTTTCTCAGGAACCAGTCTCTCGGGGACACTGGTCAGTCTGGGTTCTTGATTAGAATCAAAACAAAGCAAAACTAACACAAAAACCGAAACTAACTGTGGACTGACTTGATCAGAAAAAAAAAGTTTATTGGAAACGCACAGAGTCAACCAGAAGGCTGGAAAAGAGGCTAATAAATTGTCAAGAAACCAAGGGAAACTGTTCAGGGGAGAACACGTCTGAAGTTCTCCCGCATGGTGCTCCCACTGGTTCTCTCCCTGCCACCAGTTCTGCAGGTTTCCATGAATAATCTCTGAGCACCCTTACTTTTTTGTATTACTCACTCAAGATTCAGTGTGGGGAAAAGCATCCAGTTGGCCAGTCCTAGACTGACTCCTATAGTTCCAGCAGCGGAAGGGCAGAGAGCCAGACTATTTCTATCTATGGTGGAGCAGTCTACTATAGACATCTAGTACCCCATCTAGAGACCGAGGATAGACAGTCCCAAAAGACTGTGTTGAACCAGAATTCTTAGGATTACACAAACCTTGGGTTTCTTAGCATGTCATTCCTATTTTTCTTAGTGGACATGAAATGAAACACACAGTTTCCTGAAAAACTTTGGGAAGGGGAGCCGATACTCAATGTTGTGGGTGGCTTTTTTTTCTTTTTTAGTTATTTACTAAATTGCTAACTCCATAGTCTCTCTGACAATGGAAAGAAACTACTTCTCAGTTCAGAGACTCTATGCATTAATTAGAATAAATTAAGGCCTATTTTAGTCATTTGTGTTCTAGAAAACCACAACCATTCCCCTCACAGTTGATAACTCTACTTAATTTTAAATCTTCTGTACATGAATAATTTGAACATGCCATCTCTGCACTCGTATTTATTTGTTTCTTTATGGAACAAATGTTTATTGAGAGCTAATTTGGGACAGAAATGGTACCAGGTAGTAAAAATATTACAATGCTTAAGTATACTTTACCCTCAAGATGCTTCCAGTCTATCTTAAGTGTTATCAGTCTGGAGTCCATAAAAGCATTTCCGGGGTTTGGAACTCTCGTGGAATTACTTAAAAATATTTGGCAATATTTATTTTCACCTATCTTTTTTTTCTCAGTCAACAACATTGGAATTGGAAAAGTAGGTAAAGATCTCACACTTTGCTATTAGTTACTCAAATTGAACTTGGTTCCCCCCTCTTCTTCATAGCCAGTATGATCTCACCTCTCTGACCCTGCACGAGGCAGGCAGGAAGTGAGAATTCATGCCCTTCTGCCAAGCAGCCATTAATCAATAATGGACAGGAAACAGGGTATAGTCCACCTCTCCCTGCCATCTGGTGACAGCTCGGGGGCCTGAATTCTATAGTGGCTCCAAGAGCTCCCCAGTGGGATTAAACTCCAGTTATCCATAGTGGTCACTGCTTGACAAGGTCCCTTTTGCTGTGTGCCTTCTCTGTCCTCTCTCTTACCCACTCTTCCCCACCATGTCGCCTGGGACCACCTTCCAAATAAACCACTCCCCCTGGAATCCTTGTCTCAGGGTCTTTTTCTGAGGGAATCTAAACTAAGAACTCACAAGCCCAAAAGATTTAAAATCATTAGTCTTGTGGCCGACAAACAAACCCCAAATTTCAATTCTCTCCTAACGTGGTCAGGAGTC